GACTTCGCGAAAACGTTTGCAAATCGAAAAAATATATTATAGCAATTCACTTCATTAAAATAACTTTTAATTAAATGGCTATAGTAACTTCGGTGGCACGTAGCTAGGTGAAATAAGCAGAAGTCAAAATCAATAGAGCATTTAAAGAAAATGAATTCAATTTATCCAATCAAGGATTACAATAAAAATAACGGTAATATATTAAGATTCATTGTGTGCACATTTCAAAATACATAAAACGTAAAAAAATGTCGAGGTTTGAACTACTGGGTAGATTTGTGAAATACTAATTAGAAATATCAAATAACGCGTATAATATCAAATGTTATGCGAAGCAAAAATTAGATTGAGGAATTGAAATAATAGAGAAACAGATGAAAAAAATAGATAGATAAAGAAGCATAAGAAAAAAATCTTAATCAGGGGAGTGAAATCACGCCCTTTTTAATATGAGTTCTTAAGAGTTAAAACAATTCATCTGGCTATAGTAAGCGAAGACAACGTTGAACCAGGACAAGCAAGCTCACGCTATCCTAAATAGTAAAATTAATCTTCGATAAAGAATAAAATTAATGGAAAACCAAAATCGGATAAAAATGACCAATGCAGAAGCAAATATAGCCGGTTTCATGGAAATATTGTTTTCTATCAATTAAATACATACTTTGTGGGTCTTACCCCGATATATCATGCTCAGCCTATGTAGCTGTTGAATCTAAAATGTTATGAATTTTAACCATCTGTAGTAGGCAAGCGATAAACAGGAAAGTATGTATTGATTTATACATAGGTAAGTGGTTTTCACGCGACGAAGTATTCTAAATTATCTGGGATCACTTCGCGATAGGCAAATTGAGAGGCTATATTCCTACAAAGAAGGCTCTAAATTTAAAAACTTTCCATATATTTTGCAAGAGAATATGGACCAAACTTCCTAAAAACATAAATAATTAATGAAATGGAAGAATCTGCGCCAGCATTTGTGCTTATAAAGATGCTCAATGTAGTTAAAATCTCAAGAATGAATGAGAATAGTTTGTAAGTGACTTAGTTTTTTCACTCACTAGGTATTGGCAGCCGTAAAACCTATCCAAGCATAAAACTCCTGGATAAAAGGGCCCCATTTCCAAAATTCTTTAAATTGACATGTTATAATAGTTTATGCATTAAGAGACCGCCTTTGAGAAAGTCTTTTTTGCAACATTCTACTTCTGCTTTCATAAAGGCTTCACACGATTTGATAAGACAAAGAAAGAATAATAAACGAAATCATGATTTTCCTTCAATGAAAGTTGATAATAATAAAAACTAGAAAGACGAATTTCTGCATTCCTTGTTGACTCACTTACTTCCTCTAATCTGTCTGAAAATTGCTTAATATATGCATAAAAGTCATGAAAGAGTAAAATAAGATTTTAAATGTAAGCAGAAAATAATAACGCCAATGAGCCAATTGTGATTCTTCATATATGCTTAGCAAAGGGCAGCATAGTTAAAGGTACTATATGCGTAGTGTTGGCTTGTAATAGATCAACTTCCATAGCTCTTGATTTGAAGGTATTTTTTCGGTATTTATTAAATTAAAGGTCGTCGTCACGTTTATTATGATGACAATTTTTGTGGATTCACTCATGGGCCTGTAAATCAGTTTCCTATCTTTCTGGTTGACCGATTTCACTCGATTCCATCCCCAGTGTACCTTTTACTCCAAGTGCTATTTCTTAAGCCTTTAGTAGCTCATACAAGGCAAAATTTCTATGACGGTTGTGATTATCTGTCGCCCTAGTCACATTACCGTCGGGCTCCAAAAGTTGTACTTGTTCCTTCGAGCATACTACAATGGCTGAGCACGTCTTCGCTTTATTTCCGAAATTTACTTACCCTCTTCTTCCTTGCGATCCCCTTTCCTCTGGTTTGCGATAGATCCTTGATCCAGGCGTCTCCTTTTTGCTTATCTTGTCGTATCCTTGTTTTCTCTGAGTTTGATTAGGAAATATGAAAAGTTGTCGCTAACTCTGCCATCTTCCAATATCCTGTTCACGAAAGTTTATTGTCGTCTTTTTGTTATTAAGTCAGGAATCTTACGGTTATACTCTGGAGTTTCTTACTACGGAATATCTTCAAAAACTCAAAGGAAAAGAAATCACGTAGGATCTCTGACTTAATAATAAAATAATATGACAATAAAATGTAATTAATAGGCGATTGGAAGAAGGCAAAGTTAGCGATAACTTTGTGTATTGCTGAAGGAAACCCGAATAAAACAAGGATACGACAGGACTAGCAAAACGGAAACGCCTGAATCAATGGTCTATCGTTAACCAGAAGAAAATGGTTTGCAAGGAAGAAGAGGGTAAGAAAGTTTCGGAAATAAAGCGAAGACGTTCTTAGTGAGCATAGTCTGCTCGAAAAAGCAAGTACAACTTTGGTCATCTGACTATGGGGACGGATAATCACAACCGTCACAAAAATTCTGGAAAAGCCTGACCATAAAAGTAGAACTTGCAAGCGTAAATTCTGCTGCATTGCTTATATAAAGCATAATTATCGTGACTGATCGCATAATAAATATAAAGAAGAAATAATGGGTTAGAATCGACGATGCCCACTAGCCTTACTCGGAAGACGTCTTTTTGCACGGATGAGTGATTTTGTATCCGGCTTTCCGAGCAACAGCAAGGCTCGGCCTGATCTTCTCTACTGACCCTATTGCTTCAAGCAAAGCCAGGTCGTCCTCACGACCACCACTGGACACGGTCTGAAGCGATTCCTTAAACGTCATTCGGCAGGAATCTGTCTTATCAGTTTCACAGCTGCTACCCTTTGCTTTTGACAAAGAGCGTCCGCTACGGCGCCGGGATGGCTTGGCAAAGCAACGATTGATTGTTTCACTCGGCGTGAGACCGATGTAATTACTAGCTTTCGACTGGATATGACAGGTTGGCCTATCTATTCGATTAAGCTATGGTTAGAAGAGTTGAAAAGATAAAATAAGGCGTATATTAGTAAATCGAGAATATAGTTATTTGTGGCCTAAGCTATGACTGAGGCCAAAATGCATAAAAAAGCATGAGCAAAGTAGATATAAATTTATATATAGAATAAGCAAAATTATTGGACGATAGAAGGAAATAAAAACTGGCAGCAATAAATTTTTTTA